TAGAAGTCGCCGAGGATTCCTTTGCAAGCCAAGGTGCCGTTCAAGGATACAGCGCCGGATCCTCGAACAAAGCCCCTCCGCAAGATCAGGCCTCGGATTGGAATTTCAGGGCAACGGTTGCCAAAGAGATCGGGCAGTTCCTCAAGGATTCCTTGGAAGGTAAGCTGCGAGCCTCAGGTCGGAATCGGATCGGTCTGAAGTCTCAGCTTTACATTGTGGTTCGGGACGTGCGGGGAAATACTTACACTGATCCAGTGAAAGTTTTCCGCACTTGGAAAGCTGCAAAGGACCTTGTTGAGATTGACGGTAAGCCTGGTAATTCCATCTTCATTGGGCTTCCAAGTCAGAGGGAAGGGCTCATTGCTGTGGCGGAGGCCGGGTTCACCTGGCCCTCTTCCCTAGAAGGATGAGCGAGTCTGACGAAGACGAGCCGGCAAAGATCCGGAGCCGACTCGTCTTTTCAGGTGGCCGGATCGACAACAACTTCAAGGTGGGTACTCTGCCTTGCGGGGAAGAGGGAGCTACATGCAGCATCATTGGGATTGCCGAGTTGGGCGGCCGAATCATAGTCGCATTGCCTCATGCGGTATGGAACCGAAAGGTGAAGGCACGAAAAATTCCCAGCAACAGCCTCGGAAAAGCCTTGTCGGTGGATTGTGCCACGTCCTTCGAAGGGGCGCGGGAAACGGCTCGGCCAGAGATCTCCACCAAGGTTTGGGTAGGTATCATCAGCATGGAGTTGGAGGAGAAGGTCCAGTACTTGGAGGACGCCTTCGTGACCTATGCCTTCATCAGCGGGAACCCCGAGGAGACTGTGTACCCGTACGGCAAGGCCCTTGTCTCCATAGCCGACGAGCAGTTCGCCTTCATGACAGCGGAGAGTGGGGGAGGAGGTCCCGGGATTTTCAAGCGTATGGAAGCAGTGGAGACGGGACTTTCAACCATTCAGAGGCTGTTGGAGAACTTGCAGCGAGAGCAAGGAGAGGAGGAGGACCCGCCCAGGCAGAAAGACCGAGGAGCAGAACGAGGAGCACGATCCAAGGCCATTGCTGCAC